AAACCACGCTCTTGGGGACTGTTTCAAGCCATACAAGGCTTTCTTTAACTTGCACACCATCCCACTTCTTAGATGCTGAATTCCTGGTGGAAGACTCATGTAGACCTCTTCTTCTAGGTCACCGTTCAGGAATGCATTTTTTACGTCAAGCTGGTATAGTGGTCAGTCCAAGTTAACAACAAGAGATAGAAGCACACGTACCGTTTTGAGTTTTGCAACAGGTGCAAAGGTTTCCTCATAGTCAATACCTTGAGTTTGAGTGAACCCTCTTGCAACCAGACTAGCCTTGAGTCGTTCAACAGTGCCATCTGCCTTGTATTTCACTGTAAAAAGCCATTTACAGTCAACAATATTCTTTCCATTCGGCAGGCGAACAATTTCCCATGTTCTGTTTTTTTCCAAGGCGTGAATTTCTTCCATCACTGCTTTCTTCCATTCAGGTGATTTCATAGCCTCATGAATGTTGTTTGGTACAGTAACATTATCAATCGCCATTGTAAGAGCTCTGTGAGTATCACTTAGACGATCATATCTCACTTGGTTCCCAATCGGATATCTTGTGCAGCTACGCATTCCTTTCCTTAAGGCTATAGGAATATCAAGATCGTCATTAGGAGCTTGACACTCCTCCATCGGTTGAACCAGGTCTTCAGCTTCATCATGGAGTGTAGAATTTCGTTCTTCACTACATTTCTCAGTCTTATTGTCATCTTTGTTCTTCCTCCTTTGATACACCAGTAATGGTTTCAGCACTTGATCATGTCCTTGCTTGGGTTCATCTGACACGGGAGGAAGGTTCTCCCCCTGCACTCCAACTTGTTTGTGCCCGGGTTCATCTGAAAAGATCTTAAAGAAAAAAAAGGGGTAGTTGTTTGTAAAAAATTAAGCTAACTGTTTGATTTAGTTCAGTTTGGTAAAGAAGTTGTTAGGGCTAATTAATGTTCAAAGTCATACACTTTTCTCAGATGCTACTCACTGTAGCATCTTAAAAAAGATCTTTTGTTTTTTGAAAAACTTTTAAAGATTGTCATGTCAAACTTACAACTAGAAGCTCTTAAAGACTTAAAAAAAAAAAAATGAAGCCAAGGCAACTTACGGAAATTCATCGAAGCATGTTTTTTTTGAAAGATTCAATGAAGCATTTAGTCATGTAGATTTTATGTTGAGTTGCGGAATAGATGGTGAGAAACGAATAGTTGAGAAAATACTATGATGAGAGAGAAATTAGATTGTAGACAAATGTGATGTTCTTTGGAAGTGTCTATTAATTACATAATTTTAATTATTGGAATTTGTGAAGTTGTGAGATAATGAGTATATTTTATTACTTCCCCATTCTCTTCCGTTCTTTTGTTAATTGCAAATTTTCAATTTGAAGGCTCAAGCATGCCGAGTCATTACTTTCACTGTTATTGTATTAATTCTTTATTAGCAAAATATTATAAAAACCTAATCATGAAAATTTTTAAGGAGATGAATTCAACAACTTTTTGTAAAAAAATAATTTTCAACATTATTAAGTAAAATATGGTCAAAATATAATGTGTGAATAATGTAAAATTTTTCATGTTACAACTAAAAAGTAACGAAGGATAGTATTATCCAAGTTTCATCGGGTATAGTCTGGTATGATCCATTCTATTTAAGTGTCATATATTTTGGAATGTTTACATTTGATATTATCTAACATTGAAAATAAGCTAATTAAAAAATCATAACAAAGATAATTAATTATATCTGCTAACAGATGATCACAAATAAAATCAGTCTAAATTTAACTAAACAAACCTTATACTACTTATTTACTACGTATAAAATGAGTTTTATTCTCCCGTGCATCGCACGGGTAGAATACTAGTTACTATAATAACAATTATAGTTAGAATGAGTCTCCTAAAAAATTATCAGACCTTACGGCTAAGAAAAAGAAACAAAGCTAAAACTGGCGGGAAATGAAAATAATGAGTTTTGAGAATTGAAAAACCTCTCCGCCTATTTGTGCCTGGTTACAAAATTAGATAATTATGTTACACAAATAACTTCTCAACACACACCTTTAATTCAAATAAAACATTATTAGTCTGCACACACCAACACTAATTGTCGGTGAAGTCAAGGAGGATGACACTATTAGTCTGTACACACCGATACTAGTTGTCGGTAAAATCACTCAGAAAACTTTCATTTGTCTGTGCACACGGACATTGTGTTGTTTACTTACCTGGCCAAGCTTCGACTTTTGATATAACTCACACAACAACCTCACAGTCACTTCGCGACTCTTACATAACAACTCACAGAGAACTTTAAGCCAAACAATCTTGCCCCACAAACATTGCAATTCGAACACAAACACAATCAATTATTGGTTCATTTTTTCAATTATACCTCTGTTTTCCACCGCACCTCCGTTTCTGGCTGCATCTCCTTCCCCGTTTCCGGTTGTAGCTCCTTCTCCGTTCACAGGTGTGTCCTTAGTCGCACCTTTGTCGTCGTTCGCACCTACATCGTTCAGACCACCGTTTCGGCCGCACCTCCATTTTCGGCTGCAGATCCTTCTTCATTCGCTGGTGTATCCTTCGTCGCAACTCCGTTTTGGTTCGCAGTTATATATCCCGTCGCCCCTCCATCTAAGATAAAAAATGAGAGAAAACCATCAATTGAATTAAAAAGAAAAATAAATAGAAAGGTTGGGAGAATGGGATATCTGATAACAGAGAAGTCAGGAGAGAAGAGGGAGCCGACCTTGAATGCACATGGGTGAGGAGGGGTAAAATGCTCAGTAAAATTATAGGTATTTATATGGTGTACCCCAAGGTGTAACCAGGGTGTACACCAAGACTTTTTGAAAAAAGTCTTCCATCTAAAGCATATGAAATCACTCCTTCCAATGTTTCAATATTTAATGATCTTGGCCTCTTTCATTGATTCACATGAATGAATTAAAAATTAGATCAAAAGTCTCCAAATAATCGGGGTGAGCATTCGGTCGGTCGGTCAAATAACCAAATAACCGACCAATATTTTTTACTCTCATAATTGACCGAAAACCGACCGACAAAATTACAAAAACCGACCAAAAAATGTCATTCAGTTTCGGTCTGTAACCGAATAACTGACCATAACCTTGAAAGGAGATGCATTCTTGTTGGTATGAATAGTACTATTAATCCTCTTCAATTAATCTCGGGTATTACAGGTCTGGTCTGGTCTGAGATAGATTACAGTCCAAGTAAAAACATCCTAAATATAGTTTGTACTTTGTATCGTGTTAAATAATGATAAGTATTGTCAGTAATGAAATATGAAACTAAAAAACTATTAATATTATATAAATTTTCGCCAGACAAAAATGAATGTATATCGGCGCAGATTTTGTTTCAGTGTTTGTGTACACAGGAAAAAAAGTCAGGGTTTTATTGCACCAAAACAAATGTCTGTGTATACAGACAAAAATTGTATATGTACAAACATCTTTTTGTCTATATAGACAACTAGCAACTAATGTACGTGTACACTGACATTGATTTCCGTGCAAGCAAATGGAAGGAATAAAGAGGTAACTCAAGATGTAATAGAGGTTGTACATCAAGACTGATTGTTAGAGGAAATGGGAGAAAGAGGAGTAAAAGTGAAATGGTAAGAAATAAGGTATATATATTTTTGGGATATTTACCTAAATAGGAGTAAATAAATCATTAATTGCTAAAATAGGAGTAAAGTTTAAAATATTCCCAAATAGGAGTTAAAATTTGTAGTTAGACAGATATATCCCTGAAGCTAACTTACTGCAGCGACATACGCCATATCGCCACCGGTCGCCGGATGCCGCCGTTCGCCGCCGCTGAACTGGTCGCTGCTGCAGATCTGGCCGCCGCCGCCAGAGATCTGGCCAGATTTGGCCGCCCCTGGCTTCCGGCTGCCGGGCTATGAAGAATTGGCCGCTGCCAATTGAAATCTGACCTCCGCCGTTAGAGATTAAGCCTATGCCGCTGCAGATCTGATCGACCCCGTTGCTTATGTCAACATTTTTATCAGAATGCCAAACATGAATCTAGAATGCCATCTAAATAGCATTTTCATAAGAAAATATGAAAATTTTCAAGTATAAGATCGCCATTTTGATGGCATTTTCAGATTTAATTTGGAATTTTAACTACCAAATCACACACAGAGCTCTGAGCTCTATTCCTGCGAGAAAAAGATGAAAGAAAAGAGGGACAATTTGAAGACGAAAAAAATCTCTGGAATTTTTTTAACAACCAAGTGGGGATTCTTTTTTTGAGTGAACCAAGAACCTTCTCTGTCGGATTGCTTTCTCCGATTGCTTTCTAATCATCTGCCCACCATCGTCCATGACTCTGTCGTTGGTTGCCTTGGGAGTTGTTGAGCACTTATTCTGGATAAGAGTGACCTACGAAGCAAATTGAAAACATAGGGAAAAAGAATAGGGGTTTTAGGAGTTGAGTGGACCTAACAATAATTAAGGGTAAAATAGGAATACTACATAAAGTCGGTCCTATTTAAGAACATGAACAAAAGTACTCCTGCATAGGAATATCCAGTCTTTTTACTCCCATCTACAACCAATTTCCCATATTTTTGGGAAAAGGGGCAAATAAGCCCACATACTAACCAAAAAGGGTCAAATAAGTCCTTATATTGAAGACTCTGTCCGACCGTCGCCATTTGGGGAGGTTCCCGGTATAATTTTTTGATGAAATTTTATGAGCGTCGTATTCATTAAGTCTAGTTACTCATACGCTTTTAACTGCGTTGTTATCTTCAAAAATTTATTTGAATGCCTTCCCGATTGAAGTTTTAGCGGAAATTTGGTGTGAGTAAACTAGACTTACGGGGGTGTATTCATTCAAGACATTTTAAGACATTTTAGGATTTGTCAAATCTGGGTGTATTCATTCAAGACATTTTAAGACATTTTAAAACTCTTAAAATGTCTAGGTGTATTCATTTTGGACATCAAGACATGGATTCTAGGTATCATGTGGACATATCCAAACTTGTAAGCCCAAACATAGAAGGAAATCCCATTACCCAAATCTCACACCTTTACGTGAGATTTGAAATCCTAGCAAGCACGAAGGTTATCTGGCTCCTTCGAACACAACAATCGGCAGCGGAACTTCAATCGACAGAGGTAAACATTTTCTCCGCCCTCTTGCTTTTCGACCGCCATTTTTCTTCATTCCACAGAATCAAATCCTTGCAGCTTTGTTATCTCTTTTCCTCTTTGTTAAATCCCTAGCTTTTCTTAATGAATGAAAGATTTCCTTTCCCAATAGTATAAGCTTCTCCCCTGGATTAGTCATACTATAGCTCATCTCATAAGCACTGGTCAGGTTACTGATTCTTTGTTTGAATGAACCATATTGTTAATATTTATGGAAGTGTTGAAATATTCTGCCTCCAAAGTGTTCGATGAAATTCCCAAAAGAAATGTAAAAATCAGTTTTGTTGTAAAAATAAGTTTTGTTGTTAATAAAACCATAAGTCCAGTATGATGGCTATTTTATACTTGCGGCTGATTTTATACGAGTTAGGGGTGTCGATTGTTCAAGTCATAACCTTTTGGGTCTTGTAACAATATGGCTATAACAGTATTACTGGTAATAATCGTATATTGAGTGGTGCAGCAGCTTGTATATTAAGAAATTTGTTTTTAATGAGTAATGGACATTACTATTATGTATTCATGATTTGCATTTGGATTTAATTGTTTCTTTGCTTAATGTGGTTCGGTTTTTTGTTCAACAGTACACATAATGTCACATAGTGACATGGCCCAAGATAATGATAGTGATATGGATGAGATTGAAGAAGATGAGAGTAGAGAAGATATGTATAGACATATTAGATATTTATTTGTAGTCATTCAGACCGCCATATACATGTTAAGCTTGCACATAGTTAAAATGCATCAGAATCGTGTGAACCGTTACTCACTTGCGAGGAGACCAAAAACTAGAGATGGCTATGACTATATTCATAAAATCCTGAAGGAAGATCCAAAAGATTTTCGGGATATTTATAGAATGTATCCAGACGTTTTCTTGAAATTATGCCATATTATTAGGGAGAAACAATTGTTGGCAGATACAAGGTACGTCAGCATTGAGGAAATGCTTGCAACATTCTTAGTTATTGTTGGTCAGAACAATCGTTATTGTCAATTACGCAAAACATTTGGAAGATCACATTTCACTGTTAGTCAAAATTTCAACAAGGTTTTGAAGGTGCTACAACATTTTGCGGTTGAAATGATGGCAAAACCTGGACGTACGGTGCCAGAAAAAATAAGAGAAAGTACCAGATTTTATCCGTATTTCAAAGTAAGTTCATAATTTATATATCTCGCACATAACTTAAAATAACTTTGTATGAATTTATTATATATGTTCTCTTTTCATTTTAGGAATGTCTTGGAGCTATTGATGGCACACATATACCGGCAATGATATCTGGCCGTGAAACAAGTAGCTATAGAAATCGTCATGGGATTATTTCACAAAATGTTTTGGCTACTTGTAACTTTGATCTACAATTTATGTATGTGTTGAGTGGCTGGGAGGGATCAGCACACGATTCAAAAGTTTTGACCGATGCATTGACAAGGGAAAACGGTCTGAAAGTTCCCAATGGTACGCATGCGTGACATTATATATTGCCTTTATCAGTAGTAATCAATGCGGTTGTTATATACTACTATCACTTATTTGGTGTTTTTATTGTTATTACAATTACTATTTGCTATTATTATTCTTCCAACTATTGTAAGTATTTTTATAAAAGATTTTATAACTATAATTTTTATCCATATTATGTAGGATATTTTTATTTGGCAGATTGCGGATATCCAAATAGACGTCAATTCTTAGCACCTTTTCGAGGTACCCGCTATCACCTACAAGATTTTGCTGGTCAAGGTCGTGATCCAAATAATTCGAAGGAACTTTTTAATCTTCGTCATGCTTCACTACGGAACGTGGTTGAAAGGATATTTGGGATATTCAAGTCAAGGTTCGTTATTTTCAAAACAGCACCCCCGTTTCCTTTCCGCACTCAAGCCGAGCTAGTGCTTGCGTGTGTTGGATTGCATAACTTTCTACGAAAAGAATGTCGCTCTGATGAATTTCCGGTTGATCCTGAAGATGAAATTCGATCTTTTGAAGCGGAAGATGTTGAACAATATTTTGCAAGTCAAGAACAACAAAGGGCTAATGCAAATGCTTGGAGGGACACAATAGCATCTAATATGTGGAATGATGCTATGAACTAGTATAGGTCATGTGATTGTCCAAGTAGCATTTATGTAAAGTTATTTTTGTTTTATGCTTTCATAACATTGACAATCACTATCTTTTAGTGCTGGGGATTATCTCAGTGCAATTGAAGCAATAGCCTGAGGGAAATCATTTCTCCAGTGGAACTTCATCGTTGGCCTCATTTCTATTTATGTTTTAGTTATAATTATGAGTTGGACAGAGAGTAACAGACCGTTATTGGTGTGTTGTTGATGATGCTTATGACTTGAGACTGCTGAAAATATGATTGTCTTAGGTGAATTGAGTTATGTGGTGTACGAATGTGTTGTATTAGGATTTAAGAAGAGGTAGGTGTTAAATGAATAAAATACAAAAATGTCTTAATATGTCTCATGTCCAAATCCACACAAATCTTGACAAATCCACATAAGTCTCAAATGTCTCCTAAAATCTCATAATCCTAAAATGTCTTAAAAAGTCTTGAATGAATACACCCCCCTTAATGAATAAGATGCTCAAAAATTTTCATGAAAAAATGCCACCGGGAACCGCCTCAAATGGCGACGACCGGACAATGCCTCCTATATAAGAGTTTATTTGACCTTTTTTTTGTTAGTACATAAGTTTATTTGCCCCTTTTCCTCATATTTTTTGTGCCACTTTGTGTGCAAATAGCAAGATTGTTAATTGGGAGGGAAAATTGTCAAATAGGTCCCCGTAGTATAACGAAAAAATCAATTGAGTCCTTGTACTATTAAAACACTCAATTAACCCCTCCTACTATAAAAAAACATTCAATTCTTCTTCTTAACCGGTTCACTTCCAGTTTTGCCGGTAATCTTGGACGTGTATGCCCATGTGGTTTTTTTCTCTGACAGATAATTAACACCACGTAGCGTAGTCAAACTTAGATCTATCACCTTGTACTGTTCATCTTCCCCAATCATTTTGACAAGCAACCATTTCTTCTTCTATCAGAACTCTAAATCCACGAAAGCACTAGACTGTTTACAAATATTGGAGTGCACTTAGGGTTCTGAGGAATCTGAGCCTCGCTGAATAGAACCACGGCTGCAAAAAACCTCTTCACTAAACATCCCCAATTAAGTTGGATCGGAAGACTAAATGGAGGAAGGATACTTTTTCATTGACATCCCTCCATTTTGATAGAAGAATAAGGGGCACGTTACAACCGGGGAAGGAGAAGCTCGAATTTGAACAAGTGGACGAACCAGAGAAGCATCTTGGCGACGACATCCATGCGTTGAAGCGGTGAAGCAGAAGAGCAGCGGCGGGTAGGCTTGGAACAACGACGACGACGAAGTGTAGCTGAGAGAGAAAGAGGGATAGAGTCAGCCGGTGAAGAAGAAAGTGAAAGGAGGAAGTGAACGGCGGGAGAGGAAGGTGGGTACAGCCGTACAGAGCGGACCGTCGGTGAACTAGCTGGCCTAGACATGTACGGAAATGTTGGTGAAGTTGCTAAGGAGGCGGCACGAAGCGTATAGGAAAGAAAGAAAAAGAAATAAAGAAAAAAGAACTGGTAAGTGGTAAAGATTAAAGACCCCGAAGGGATAAACTAAAAATATTAAAAAATATTAAAAAAAATCATGTCAGTAAGCTGTTAACCGGAAGACTTGTTGGTTACGGGCTAACAGGCTTAGGTGCTGTTCTGTTCGTCTTATTCTTATTACTTATTACTTATTCTTATTTTATTCAGATCAGATCAGATCAGATCAGAAAAATTCAGATCAGATCAGATCAGATCAGAAAAATTCAGATCAGATCAGATCAGATCAGAAAGATTCAGATCAGATCAGATCAGATCAGAAAGATTCAGATCAGATCAGAAAGATTCAGATCAGATCAGATCAGATCAGAAACATTCAGATCAGATCAGAAACATTCAGATCAGATCATAAAAGTTCAAACATGATTTATCACTTTTATTATTATATTAATTATTATTATTAATATTGTTATTACTATTATGATTATTATTATTATATAATTATTATTAATAATATTAATAATAATATGATAAAAAAATAAGATATTAATAATAGTTATAATATTTTAATATAACAATAGTAATATAAATGCAATTATTAAGAAGACTATTATTATTATTACAATATAATAATAATAATATGATTAATATTATTATAATATTATATTATAATTATATGTAATTATAATTATAATTATAATTATAATTACAATTAAATTTCTTATAATTATAAGTATAATCAATTGTAATTATTATAATTATATCAATAATTAATTATAATTATAATTATAATTAGTTATAATTATAATAATTATAATTATAATTACAATCATAATTATAATTATGATTACAATTATAATTATAATATAATATTATAATAATATAATACTAATTATAATAATAATAATCATATTATTATTATATTATTGTAATAATAATATTAATATAATAATATCGTTATAATAATATTAATTGCATTTATATTACTATTATTATATTATAATATTATAATTGATGTTAATATAATTATAATTATTATTAATTATAATAATTATAATTATACTTATAATTATATTATAATAATAATTTATGATTATAATTATTATTTTTATTATAATTATTAATATTATTATTATTATTACTATTGTAATTATTTTACGGAGTAATTATAATAATATTGATAACTATAGTTATAATTATAGAGATAAATATTGTAATTATAATTACAATTATAATTATATAAGTAATTATAATTAAAAATATAATTACAATTATAATTATATCTATATTTATAATTAGTGTAATACGTATAAATTTTTTCATTTTAAATTCAGTTTTAATTATTATTATTATTATTATTATTACTATTATTATTATAGTTACGATTATGATTATAATTTTATTTAAATTATATTTTTAATTGCAATTATAATTATAATTATAATTATAATTATAATTATAATTATAATTATAATTATAATTATAATTATAATAGAAATATTCAAATCAGATCAGATCAGAAAGATTCAGATCAGATCAGAAGGATTCAGATCAGATCAGACCAGATCAGAAACATTCAGATCAGATCAGAAAGATTCAGATCAGATCAGATCAGATCAGAAAGATTCAGATCAGATCAGATCAGATCAGAAAGATTCAGATCAGATCAGATCAGATCAGAAAAATTCAGATCAGATCAGATCAGAACTTAAAAAATTCAGATCAGAAACATTCAGATCAGGCGAAGAGAACAGCTTCTTAATTGAGTGTTTTTTTGTAAGTTTGAGGATTCAATTGATTGATTGTAGAGTAGGAGGATCTAATTGACTTTTTTGATATAGTAGGGGGACTTATTTGACAGTTTTCACTTGTTAATTTAATTTTTTTATGTTATCTTATTATCTCAGCCTTCAAGTGCTGGCTTCATTCCCCACCATAGGGTTTTTGTGCATCTCAAAGACTCGAGACGGTAACAATGGAGCTGACGGCGCAAGAGCTGAACCTGTACAACGGCTCCGATCCGTCGAAGCCAATTTACGTAGCGATTAAGGGCCGCATATTTGACGTCACTGCCGGCAAGTCTTTCTACGCTCCCGGGGGAAGCTACGCCATCTTCGCCGGAAAAGATGCCACCAGAGCCCTAGCCAAGATGAGCAAGGCAGAGGAGGATATCTCCCCCTCAACCGAAGGGCTATCTGAGAAAGAAATTGGGGTCCTCGAGGACTGGGAGAAGAAGTTTGAAGCTAAGTATCCTGTCGTTGGCAGTGTTCGTACATAATCTTCCTAATTTATTTCTACACCATTTACCATAAGCTTCAATTATATGTATTTAAAAAAGAGATGATTTGATGCTATTCGGTTGAAATGTGTGCTTAACTTATTGTTGTATCTTCATAAACATCGGATGCTGTAATCTCATGAATAATGGCTTCTTTGCAATCGATAATCTGAATGTTACCTCTTCTCTGCATTAAACTGAGATGGGAAATCAATTCACTTCAGAGTCTGAATTTTCAGAGACCAATGGAACATGATAACATGATTTATAGCTTGGACTTAAGGGTTGTTTGGTTCAGGGAATTCGGAGGGGAGGGAGAAGAGGATTGGTCTTTATTTCATTATTAATGTATCTCTATTTGTTAGATTTAGACTAGAAGTAACTATATGATTTGGTTAATGTTTGTTTTAACTTCACTTTGTTGTCAAGTCTCAACAATTTAAGCATGCAAATAGTTTAAATCATAAATATTGAACCTCCCCTTCCCTTCCTGCCCTTTGGGAATTCCAGAATGAAACAAGCTGTAAGGAGATATCTGGAACTATAATTGCCTGGCAGGGTAGTGTTGCTATTTGCTAACTTGCATTGTTCTACTTGTCTGTGCTGTCAAGAACTTGTGCATTTGGTTTGGTGTCTTGGGCTTTAGGTAAAGAACGTGTCGAATTCAGTAGGTCAAGTTAAGATCTTTTTTTATACACCAGAATGAAAGGCAAAACAAAATTAATACGTCTCTATTATGTAATACTTTCTAGTCCATTTGCATCCTCCCATTAATGTTGTTTCAACCACTCCGGAGGCGTGTTGAGAATCGTAAGTCCCTTGTTGGATTCATAGGCTGCATTGACCAGCCTATCCGCACATTTATTCCCTTCACATAAGTGTGTTGGAGGCGGATAAATCTTTCCTCATCAAGTAGTCTCCTGCAATCCTGAATCCTGGTTCTTTTTAACCGCATTAATCATGCTTTCTGAGTCTACCTCCACAATGAGTCTACCCTATGATGTCCAAATTCCCTTTCCATGAGAAGGCCCTGTCTTAGCCCCCATAATTCAGCATTAAAGCTCTCTGTTTTGCCAAGTTCAGATCTTTGTTCGAACTCATTTTACATTATCTTTGTAAAGACTAAGAAAGATAAGTGTATGTGTACATAAAGTTATAATCAGATTTAATTTATTTTCATATTTTCCAAAGCAAAACCAAACATGAAAGCTATATGTAAAGTTATAATCAAATTTGATTTACTTTCATATTTTCAAAGGCAAAACCAAACATGAAAAGCTATTTTCTTTTGAATTATTTTTCTTTCGTGACCGTTTTTCTCATTCCCAGCACAGCCTTAACATTTGATCCTAGCTGATTGACAGGTCTTACTTGAAAAGTTTTATCTGAATGTGCGCTAGTTCGGTGGTTTGCATTGTACACATCTATGAAGCACATATATTTCTGAAGGAGTGTTTGGGATTGCTTTAAAAAAGCGCTTTTTAGCTTTTGGCTTAAAAAAAGTTGAAAAAGAGTGTTTTCAAATGACAGCTTCTGCTTAAATTAATCACTTAAAAGCTAAAAGCTGGAAGCAGGTAGAAGGGTGCTTTAAATTGCTTCTCACTTTTTCTATTACACAAAAAGTACTTATTTTACCCAACACTACCAACTTTTACTTTTTCAGAATCACTTTTTTCTCAAGCATTACCAACTTTTACTATTAATCACTTTTCCCAAAATCACTTTAAAAAATTACTTTTTTAAAGTTGAAACAATTGCAAACACTCCCTGAGTCTTGTTCCTCTCTCAGTTATCATTCCAGTTACTTCAGTTACAATAGTTTTTAGAGAAATAAATAAATGGAATGGTAAAGATATGTCCCATGCAATTCATTTACTTCACCAATACTCGTAGAATATAGTGATCGATGGAAATATAGCTCACTGTATATGTCGCATGTGATGCTCTCTTTGAACAATTGATTAGGAAGTACTACGTATTTCTTAAATCTTTCTGGCTGGGGGAGATTCCATGTCACTTGATTATTTATTTTTATTCTAGATAGCTAAAAATACAATGGTCTCCCTTATAAATTATTATAATGGAATCTATATTTATGCACCCACTATTGTTTTAAGGGATAACAGAAGTCCCTTTTTATGAATATTACTTCGTTTAAAAGTTTTTTTAAAATGATTTAACATGTCATTTATTTATGCACATCATTTAATATTACATTTATTATTGTGATATGACATTTTTGTAATTAATAATTATTGGATACCGTCCAACTATCCCCGGTGATTGCCACCCTCATCACCGCCACTATTGTTGTCGTCGTCATTAATAACCATAAAATCAATAACTTAAATCTCATAGTGTCTACTCCCTCCGTCCCCTTTATATTGTCTCGTTTTACTTTTTCGAGAAGTCCTATTAAAATTTTCTCATATCATATTTGGTAAAATTTGTGTGACTCAAAATCATTCTTACTTTATTCTTACTTTATCAATTAATTTCAACCACAAAAACTCACTTTTCTTAGAAATCGTGTCACCTTCTTCAGTCCCAATATAAGAGGGACGAGGTAGTACATAATACTCCCTCCGTCCCGAAAACAACTTCCCACTTTCCTTAAATGGATGTCCCAAAATTAACTTCACACTTCAATACTTTCCTTATTTGGCAAATTATCTACATCAAAAAAGTGATAAACAGTGCCAAACAGTGTTTAAACAGTGCCAAACAGTGTTTAAACAGTGCAAACAGTGTTTAAACAGTGCAAAACAGTGCATTCTACAGTAAAGTCAAATTTATTTCCTAAAAGTGTGTGAAAGTCCAACCGGGAAGTTGTTTTCGGGACGGAGGGAGTAGTATTTTTTATTGGTTGCGTTAATAGTAATACTAAAGTGATCTCACACGGTGATTTGTTGTAATTTGATATAGAGCACTTAACATGGTAGTGTTTAAATAAATGACCACACCCATTTGTACTCTTTAAATAAACAGGCAAACAGCTTTTCTATTACACGTCATTGCCACTTGCCACATCATACATATTTACAAGTTTTAAATAATCTCAAAACTGAAACTTTCTATCATACTCAAATAATTAATTTCTGCTAGGATATGCATAAAATGTAATTTAACTACAATCTAAAATAATTCAGATTTGAATTTTGATATCAAATTTTCTTTCTTGATAATCTCTTGTGATAGCTTTTAATGTGATCTTACACTTTTTTTTAATATGATCTTACACATCATTCAATTAATCATCAAATAAACTAATGGATGACAATGTCTTCAGGACATTCCCATCCATTATAGAGCTGATTTATGAGAAACGTAAAAAATCAATGGACTTTAATATCCATAGACTTTTTTATGAATGAATTCTATTGACTTTTAAATTCATGGACAATTTTATAGACTTTCAAAAAGTATATAGACTTATGAATCTGGACCGTCACTGTTGGGTCGTCGAAATTTTTACCCAGATCGCTGCTACCGATTTGCCTGTCCGCCTCCATCACCGGAGTTCACTGTCGTTGTCATCGGTTTGACCCGCCACCAGTAAAATGGCTTTGGTTATGCATGAAAATTAGTGGCAATTTTTTTTGGAAGAATTCGGCTTATATTGATAACACATAATTCAGAGTATGGGTAAAACGACAAAAAGAAATCTGACAACCGTCGTCCCGCGAACCAGACTCGGAATTAATCATCTCCAGAGAAGCAATATAATTCGTTGATCCATAAATGGGAGCACCAAAGCCAAAAACGATTACTGTATTCATCTCACCCCCCACATCCAAATCCAAAGTCTTACAAACAGGAACATTAAAGAAAAAGCAAATAACAAAACAGACATAGAAATCACTGGAAAAACCAATAAAACAAATAAGATAAGTCTTCTTCCATACCCTATATTTGCGTGCACTCCATGGTGGCGGCTCAAGAGGGGGGGGGGGGGGGGGGCACCGTTCATCCGCCACAACCTCAACATCAGCTTCATCTAGATCCAGTTCTTCCTCCTCTGCCCCATTCACCATCTTCTTGTATTTATCCACGAAGCTATCCATACAAAATTGTTGCTCTAACCTTCTGCCAGAAACTCCATACCTGCTCATTGTCGAGACCGAACAGTCGAACACCTCGGGCACAATCAAAGCAACCAACGAATGTCTTGCTCGAATCAACCAAGACAGATCCCAAAAGATTAGGTCGATGACCCCAATCCCAAAAAAAAAAAAAACGATCTGCTATGCTGAGGTTAGCAACTAACAAACGCAAAATCCAAACTCGCACCACGACCGAATGATCGTTGCCGGACAAACGCCCCTAGAAAAACCGCAGGAGATAGTTCAAATCAGTGTTTCCATAGAATCTGGTTTGGGAAAATTAGTGGCAATTAATTATATTAACTAAATTATGGGTTAAAATGTAATATTTAGTCCTATTTAAGGAAAATCAAACATGTGATTATGCTTTGAGTAACATGCTACTAGTATGTTTTAGTACTACCATAGTACCATGAGTTCTAGCAACACAATGTTCTACAATAATAAATGAAGCATACGCATCCAAATTTATACTCCGTATTTATTAAAAAGAAAACTCAAAGTTTCGAGAATGTTCAACAATCTCAATTTCTTTATGATCAATTGTTATATTACACAACTCAATGAGTAAGAACATTAATCATTACACAAGCATAGTTGCAATTGAATTTTTCTTCTTAATAATTGTTTTCCTTTCATTTTTATCTTGTTAAATTTTGTATACTTATTTACAGTTAAATGTTTATTAATTTGAAATTACTTTTTTATGTGTTAGCGGTTTAACGATGAAACACAATAACAGTTAAAATATTTTATTCTTAATGGTTAACTGGCAACCGATGTAATTGCACCGTACCTCAATATTTTAGAATTGCACCGATGTAATACTACTGATTCTTATACCAGTTCTTCTAAAAACTTCTAGAACCGAATCGATATGCGATTAACGGTTCTTCAAATGGTTCCTAATTTTCTTTCAAGAACTGAACGGATCTCACCCCTACATTTTCTTCGTAAGATGACATATAAAATATCACCTTTTAATTATTTTTAAGTTTATCTTGTGTATCAGTATTAATGTAGAATCTTCTTGTTCAACTTTATTTATCGTAAAATGATAAATAAATAAAAATTTAATGTTCAGATCTTGCATATTGAGACCACCCTGATACCCATCTCCTGACCCGGCCGGTACTGGTTCAGTACTTGTTGGCCGGGGTGTGATTTCAGGTAAATAATTAGTCAATCTGCAACCAGATCTATGCATACTTGTGACGAGTAGAAGACAATAGAGAGTCCATGGAAATCTTTGATGAAGAGAAGAGACAATTGCAGAGAATTATTGAACTAAGAATGAGTTAAAAGTCCATGAGAATTCACGATTTTAGAAGTCAATAACAATGAACGGAAGTTTGAATACACTTAGACTTGTATAGACTTTTAAAAGTCTACATTGAATACACCTAAACTTTTTTAGACTTTTAAATGTCCACATTGAATACACCTAAACTTTTAAAATCGACAGACTTTTAAAATTTTGACACTAATTTCTAATATAATTTATTCTTATTTTATTCTCATATGATTAGAAAGATTCACAGTTGTTGGTGCCTATGGCGAAGGTTTCTAGTCCAACATTTGAAGGTCTTATGGCGGTTTGGGTGATGATAGTAGTGGTCCACTCCATCTTATGTTTGGACATACTTACCTGAGCTGATGAGGTTGATAACTGGGCTTCAACTAAAAGGAAAGAAAAAACGAAAAAGAAGTATAACGCGACAAGGGAGCAGCCAAAGCAGATGTTGTGTGTTAAGGTCTAATTATTTTAAGATCATGTTGTGTGTAAAGCTCTCATTTTCAGATTATACAGCACTTTTTTTTTATAAAGGTGGAATCTGTAAGATAAATTTTTCCTATAAAGTATCTTGTATGGCTTCATATTTTGAATAGTAGCCTGTTTACTAAGAATCACTGTCAAGCTCCGCCTAGGTGCTAGTCCTCCCCCGATTGCCTATGATTTTTTTTCCCTGGATTTGGGTCCAATTTAGGCTCCTTTGGTCCCGTCTAGTCTTGCATAAGCGCTAGGCCCTACTTTACCCTCTAGGGACTGCCTATGTTTTTTAGAACACTGAGCATTACCAAAGTTATCAATTCACCTTCCATTGCAATTTTAAGACCATAACTTATTCAAACTTTAGGCAATAGGATGGATACATGCCTGGGTTTTTAGGTTCGAGGCTCTTCATTCATCCGTTCATCATCATTACCTCAGCGCCACAAAGGCTCCCACCCTAGGTTCGATGCTATGGGAGTATATTAGAAGGCCACTTGGAATTCACTCTGCCATAGATGGTTATTATTTTGTAGTGTTATATTTTACTAAACCATTAGGAGACACCTAAGGTCAATAGAATTCATATGGATTGTTCTCAGAAGTCTATGTGCAGGCAATAACATAAATATAGGTAGTACAAACAGAACATTCTAGGAGGTGGGTAAGTTACTAATGAAATATTGCCTTCTATAATAAAAGGAAAATGATAGAGGGACTATCATTTTTTATTACTCTTAGTTGGCATCTACTCACAAGAAAGAGATAATTTTGATTTAATGATGAGATAGATTGTTAACTAAGAAGTACAATATAGTCTACCAAATAGCTGTTCATTCTTCACTTCCATGAAGAAAACATAGTTAAAATAAACTTATTTGAAACATAAGGCATGTACAATAAAAGCAAACAATGTTTATTCACCGACAAAGGATAACTTAAGAGCGGGACAGAATTGGAAATGTAACTTCTTTTCCAAAGGCGACATTTCAAGAATGAAAGACTCATTAAAGGTAGGATCCCAACATTGATAATTTGATACTCATGTCCTAATTTCCATAGCTATGTTTTCACATTCTATGCTGTGCGCTAGGGCATACTTTAGTATGCCCTCACTTTTTTTCTTAAGTGTAATCACATCCTGGAAGGGGAGCCGTGGCACACCGGTTATGGTGTTGTTGTGAGACCCAGAGGTCACGGGTTCAAGTCTTGGAAGCGGCCTCTTGTCAAAATGACAAGGGAAGGATCACTCCTAATTCCCTTTCTTTCCTTTCTTTAATCACATCTTGATGTACAGAGGGGTCTTTGGTTCATGTCCCAATGTCCTTCTCTTCACACAATGTATCTTTCTTTGTCCTGAAAGAGAAGTTGAGAACAAGTTTCTTCAACATATAAAATGATACTCCTTATGCTCACTACCATTGCCATTTAACAACATAGCTTTTACCTAGTTTTACAATTTTGTATTATTGAGTTTGGAGGCATTAGAGCATTTACAACAATCTCCTCAACTGAATATCTAATTTCATAATTTTACTGACTTTAACTAAACAGTAAACAACAGTAATAGTGTAAAAAATCCAGAGTTCTTTTGCGGAGAAAATATTACATATTATCGTAGCAGGCATTGGTATGTGTTAGTTGCTGCAAGGCAAAACTATTAATTAGCGACATAATAGCTAAGCTCTTAATAAGTTTGCTCTATATAGTCATTGGTCAGTTAATTACACAGTTTGTAGTTAAAAAGAGGTAAGCTATTAATAGTTCACCTTGATCAGTTCTTGGTTATTTAGTCATCTAGTTTGTTTTTGAAGCCTTGTAAATGGCACCTATATAATGTATAAGAAAATTTGATCTCAAACAATAAACCTTCATTGAGAAAAATAATTTAGGGATACGATGATCTCAATAAAGACCTCTAAGGAAGTTGACAGTGTTGATAAAAAGTCTTGTTTCCCTTTCAAATTACTCTAAATATTTCCTGTGACTCATCGATCCCCTTCGTAAAATTGTGGTTGCATTGTTGACATCATGGATTATTTTAAACTCCCATGATGACCAACACACGCTCAAGAGATATAAAATGAACAACACGACTTAAAAGTTACTAGAATAACTTTGGCTATGTTTGCACGATGATTTCAGGTTAAAATGAGCTTAGGTTTGATCAATTTAGACAATTAACACACATGTAGCCTTGTTTGGATGAAAAGCTGAACTTGGTTGGGTCTAAAATTAATCAGCTATTCTAAATTGTTACTAATTTTAGCGTTTTAGTTCAGCCATTTAGTTTACCGTAAGCTTATGTCAACTTTACTATCCCATTAGTGAAATTTTATCTTATGTTTATAAAATATTATTTTTATGGCAATTTTACATTTATCAGTCATTATTATAGTTAGCATTTCAGTTTCAACGAATTTTATCAAGTCCAGACAATAGTCTCTAAATATAATAGACTTCAGTTCAATTTGTTCTTCCAAGCATACCTTTCTAATGAGCCCCACACAAGCTTGTCCCACATCAAAACCACACAGCACCATGCCATCTGATGCACTCACCACGAATACTAATCCTCCACCTCAGTTACCTGCAAATCCACCGCTGCCAACTCCTCCATTTTCTCTTTTTGTATTCATAGCTGTAGCCAGACACATCTACCTTCTATCAGACATTCCACATGAATCTACATCTGGTAGGAAGGGTGGCTCGCTTCTCGCTGCCTTTTTGTGGCAGAGTTATGCGAATGTTTATAGCTTTTTCTTTTTCTCATTGTGGTAACAATGTGCCAAACACTTTGAGTCATACAAAGGTAGGTGCCACTACAATTATGAATCATGTTCTTGTTTTCAAGCTTGAGGGCAAGTGTGATGTCAGTGATGGGTGTGATGATATGAGTTTGTGGCATTAGTGACATTGCATTAAACTATTTATCAGTTTACCTTTTTTAGTTTTTAGTTATTCAGTCACTCAGTTTGCATATTGGGAATAGTTTTGCAGTTCAATATTTTTCGCTAAATAATTTACTGGTTATTTAGTCCCCTCAGTTGTAGTTTGGGAAGTATTTTTAAAGCCTATCTATATAAGGGGGTTTGGTGTCCATTTATAAACAAGTAATGATAACGAAAAGTTACTTAAAAGAGGAACTCAATAAAATTCTCCAAGCTAGTTGAGAGTCGATAAAAACTATTATTTGCCTCTTAAATTGTTCCCTTTCCATTGAATCCCTAGTTTGTAACATTTTGAGTCGAAGTGCTATAAATGCTATAACATCTTGTTGAAAATGATCAGTAGTTATCTTAAAAGAATAGATTGATCCAACTTTATCAATTATTGTATGAATGGAATGGTAATTTCTAAGACTTCCAAGACATTCACACATTCATAAATTGTTTTTCTTTTCTCAATACTGATATATAGGCCAATATTGCCGTTGAAGGATACACTGCTGCAATGGTTATCTCTGATTCCAGTTATTGTTATCACTGGCCAGTGGTTTTCAAGTAAGTTGTTTTGATAATGAAATATGGGCCAATGTTACTGGGCTACTGGCAAACCCTTGGTGGCCCAAGTACCCAACCCAGTTGGTAAGATACTAAGATTCTTCTAATTGGCATGTAAATAAATCGCTTGCTCATTCTAACCCTAGTTGAGTTAGTGCAGCTACACCTACAGAGATATTTTTTTTACCAAAGTACTCGTAAGTAGAACCATTCCATCATTTGCAATGGAGCCAAAGATTCAATATTTTTTGGTTTGAGAATATGATGGAATAAAGCAAAATGGCTCACTAAACTGTCTACGTTTCTTTCTTATGAAGCAACAATCAATCCATGCAATTTTGGACGCGATTTTCACTATGAGTCATCCGGAAACAGTCTCTATGTGCTTTAGTACAGGGGTAAGACTGCGTACATCCGACCCCCCCCTTACCCCACCGTAGGTGGGAGCCTTTGCGGCACTGGGGTAAATGAAAATGAAATGACTCGTAAGTAGAACAGGGTTCCTTTGATCTCTCTCTCTCTCTTGCAATTTTGCTAGATTTATGGCCATCCCATTGATGAGAGATGACAGAACCATAGTGGTTTGGTTTTGGTTATGATTAAATTTTAGAACAAAAAGGATCATTTACCAAGCTTCTTTAATCTTGTGAAAGATTTAGTCCTTAAATGGTATTTTTTTCATATATATTATATATGTAATTATTTATGTTATCTTTTTTACCTTCCATGTTTGGTATATCTTTTTACCATCTTTATCGTATTTAGTTGGAAAATAGAAAGATAAAATAAAGTACATGGGTAGGTATACATTAATTGTTGTTGATCATTCTTAATTTTGTTTATTTATTTTACCAATTTTTTCTATATGAGCCGATTCAAAACTGTTTACCCTATCTTCAAAACTATGGACCATCCTTGAACTACCTGGGTTAAAGCTAGTATAATTTCATGCTTCTACATGAACAGTCACAAGAGAGTGTTTAAATTCATTGCAAACTACGACACACATACCCAGTTACGGGAAATGAAATTTTCTAAATTCTTTGAAAATGACATGGATATGGGGAGGGGGATACCCGCTATATTTATGTGAGTGTATGTGTATATACATATTTAAAAGCTTACCTTAATGGTTGGTCTGGTTTCATAACTTTCCACCTTCCATATAAGTTATGTAGTTGTATCTATCATATGTTGTTCACAATATTTTATTATAAGGAATGATGTATATTCATAGAAGTAACATATCTTTTGTCTTTTGAGGTTGACAACAACTTTACAAGAGGACAAGTATAACAAGTGGACAAGTTGTTAAACAAAGTATCCGAAGAGATGGGAAATGTCAAAGTAGATGGTCTACCTCACTTCTGTCAAAGTATCTCTCTATTTATTACTCCCTTGGCCCCAATTAGATTTGCAAAAATATCTATTTTGATTGTCCCAAAATTATTTTCCACTTTCTACTTTAGGTATGCAAACTCCACTATATATGAGATCATTTTTGGTATCATACCTGTCCCAAGCCAGGATAAAGGAGGAGAGTGTTGTGGTAAGTGTGTGACGGCGAACAATATCACCTTGTCAGATCACATGACATGAATCAGAATATGATCGATTCATGTTAGCCGGCCCCAAAATGTTTTGGGACAAAGGCTTGGATGTTGTTGTTGTTACTTTAGGTATGCAAATATGATTGAACCGACAAACTTTATGTTGTTACCTTTATGTTTACCCTTTTTCCATTTACTTAAATGCCTTTACTTTATGGGAGATAGAGCAAGTGGTAAAGCCAAACTTTATTCATTGTTTTCCTTAATTCTTGTGTTAGTCAAATTCTCGATCACTTTAGGTACACAGATTGATAAATAGTGCGCACATCCAAATCACTTTAGCGAAAGCTCATATTCAGGCAGGAGTATGAGCTCGTAACTTATTCTGAAGTCTGAACACTATAGTAAATCAAGCGTGTGACTAAAGGGAGCTTTTTGTTTAATCCCCTCGAATTCCTTGATCCAATCGTGTGTTAGGATGTGTGCTGTGGAAAAGTTAAACCTCAGTCATATATAAATGCTAACCTAATCCATTGAGTCAAGGATTGGTTGCTGAGACAAACAACGCACTAAAGGAGTGGTGAACACTAAGCCCCATGACTTTTGCCTAACTGTTAAAGAACAAAATCAAAGAGAAGTGTCTCTCGAGGTGTCATCATCATCATTACCCCAGTGCGGCAATGGCTCCCACCTACGGTGGGGTAAGGGGGGGTCGGATGTTCGCAGTCTTACCCCTGTACTAAAGCACAAAGAGACTGTTTCTAGATGACCCATAGTGAAAATTGCGTCCAAACCTGTATGGACTGGCTGCTGCTTCATAACAAAGAAGCGCAACCAGTTTAGTGAGCCATTTTGCTTTATTGCATCATATTCTCAAGCCAAAAAATAGTGTCTTTGGCTCCATTGCAAATGATGGAAATGTCTCTTGAGGCGTAATTACGTAAATTATTATGAACTGCTCACTTAGTTTTTTCAAATCAAAGCCCATTAGCACTAGCATTACCTACCAACCAGTCCTACTGTTCTAAGGCGATTATGTTGATGGGGTGATGTTCTAAGGCAATTACATTCATTGCTACTGACTTAATGGCAGAAAGTTGATCTGAGGAAATCAAGTGTCAGAGAAGTTTTACTTTATTTGATGAGATGCATTAAATGGAGTAACTTTGTTTGTAGCATTATGGGGAGAGAAAGTGCAATATACATACTCATAATTTAGAAGCATTTCACCCTACTCACAATTTGCATCTAAAGGGGCTGTATTGATGTAATTAGGCCCGTAAGCTTTAGTCCTGCTACACAAACCAAACTCTTTTGAGGTTTATTGAATTTGTTTGTGCTTTGTGGCTGAGTTGCAATTTACTACAGTTTTTTTACCCTCCAGAATATTTCCTGGTTGTAATTTTAGCTCTGCAGATTTTACTTGATGAACATTTTTTTATGATTTCCTATACATTCTTTCAACATTATGTTATTAAATTTCTGTTAATGCTTTTCAAACAATTTTGTTAAACACAAGCCCACTTGTCATCTCTACATGCTAAAATAGATCTTGCAGTAATATTTAGATTCTTCTAAGTTTCGTTCCTGAAGACAATAGTTTAGTTATCTATATTGTCCAGTGTGCTAAGTTCTATGGAATGTTCAGTACACACATAGCGTACCCAGGACACTGTGGATGCAACTCAGACAGCCAATCACTTGAGTTAAACTCTATTTTTATTGTGAAGTGTATAAACATGTGCTATTCAGGTTGTTATCTATGGATGACACAATGCCCGACTCTCTGTAGCTAAATGTATTGTATCTAGACGAAAGTCAAGAAATTACTATGTTGAAGCTCAAATTCATAAAAATGACTGTGCTCAGCTGTGGATAAATAAGTCACTTAGAAGGTTATTTAGGAAAAAAAATCACCAGAATTGTAGCAAGAAAAAGCGGTGAGGTACATATTGACCTATTTGCACAATGAGTAATGCTGGCGGACATTAGGTTTGTAAAATCTAGGTAGACATTCTTCTGTGGTGCACATCCATTGAATGATGAAAAGTTAGACATGTGACCATTACCTAATGAATGTGTGCCACATAATAATATCTCTCTTGAATGCACAAATTTAATAGGCGAAATTCATAGGAATAATCCCTACTTTTAGGAATTCTACAATAATAATCCCTACTGAGAGTGTTAATAAAAATAATCCGAACTAGCAATCGTGTCTACAATTATAAATTGGAGTAAATTTAAACTAATACCCATTTAATACGGTAATGGGTTTTAAATGGGTTTTAGTTTGAGTTCACCCGGAGAAGAAGAGCGGTGAATGGAAATGTGGCAGTAGGGGTTGGAAATATTAAATGGGCATTAGTTTGAGTTCACTCCAATTTATTCTTGTGGACACCATTCCTAGTTCAGATTATTTTTAATTTTTTATGGACACTCTCAATAGGGGATTATTATTGTAGAACCCCTGAAAGTATGGATTATTCTTATGAATTTCGCCAATTTAATATTGGTGTGGCAATAAAAGTTAGCCACATATTAATTGGTGAACTTGGAATGTTGTTCACATGCTATCTGTTTCTTTAATATCTGTGCAAAAAGCAATTGAGACTTCTAAGTTTGATTGGAGGGAGTATATTTCATTTCTACTTAGGATTTTTTTTTGGAATTGTTAAACTGTTCCTGCTGGTTATGATAGACTGGGCATTTGTCATTGGCTTGAGAAAGAACCATCCATTTTTCCTTTGATAAACTCTTTGTAGGCCATCTTCTGGATTTCCTTTTGTTTTGGACATCAAGTCAGTGTGCTATGATCTCTTCCTCAGTTCCTCTATAGTTTAGGAATCGTTTGATAAAGAAAATTGCAAATCATCACACATCTGCAACAAACGGAAAATGTGTTATTCCTTGGAGAAACACCCATTTCTCCATGATTAAGTTAACACTTGAAATTTCATGTATGTTTTGCTTGTCCATGGCCACAAATTAAGGTTTCTAAGGTGATCAAATTGGGATCCATTTGTTGCATCCTTTTCAACATCCCAATGCATACTCTTTTTTCTGTCATTTGCATTTGAAACACCATTGCTTCTGCTTTGCTGCATCCCATTGTTCTGTGCATAAACCGTTGGTATGGTGGTGACTAGTCTGGCCTCGAACTAGCCGCAACCATTCTATATATAAGCCTCATACTTTTTCAACATTGTCCTCGTTACACCGCAATTGTACTAAAATATATATTTTCTGTCATTTGTTTTTCACAGATTGTTCTAGTCATGATCTCTAACAGCTTCATAGATCTTTCTGGCTTCCACTTATCCAAAACCCAATGATCAAAGTATCTAAAATTCCCCTTCTCCTCCTTATTCTTTTTCCAAATGATTTATTTTCCCACCTCTTCACCAAATTCTCCCATACTGTTTGACTCTGAATATAGAATACCTTAAAAAATAGATGATCCTATAATCTCCCCTATAAGAGTAACACGGCTGGAAAGTTAGAAGAATGATATTTGTATATCATGTAAAGAAAAAATTGGTGTATTGTAGTGTAAGTGGCAACATGGCATCAGTTAGTGAAACATTTTTTGTATGTCCGTCTGAAGTTATTGCATACCCAGGTTAGAAAATTTGAAGATGCTAAGAGATCTTATCTTCCAGGCTTGCACATGTTATCCCACTAAACAAGTCAAAATATTGATACATTACATCAGCAGCAACCATCCCTTAATCCCAAATCAATGGTGCTGGCTACATGAACCAATAGAAAGCATTCAGATACTGTCTATGAAATCCTTATTTTCCATTCTTTTTGCCACACACCATATGTCCAAAATGATATAATAATGTTCATGAGTAGTAAAGTCTTTCTTAACTCACGAATATAATCTTAAACATTAGGTAAAGTCCATCTGAAGGTGAACTGATTAGTGATAGCGTGTACCAGTAGGTGAATCCAGCTCACCCAGGCGCTTCATTTGCATTGATAGTCATAACTGATAAGATCTAAAATTTACTATAAGTTCAATTTTTCGCTGTTTTATAAGCCTCATATGTTTGATATGTGATAATTCATTGATTCACCCCTTTGTATTGTGAGTTTGATTTTGAAGTGTACCACAATCCAAGTGGGATTCAACTCAATCAAGTACATGAAGAAAGGGAAAAGGGCTTATCAGGAAAAGCAATTCTAAGAGGCCCTTCTGGTCAGTATTGGAAGGTCAAAGTATCTCTAAAGGAAAAGGGCTTGTTTCTAAGGAAAGGATGGTGGGGGGATTTTACAAAAAAATATCTTTGTTAAAGCGACTTCCTCTTATTTAGATATGATGGAGGCAAAACCAAAACTTGTGCAATTCTTTGTGTGTAAATGATGTACTGAGGCTGGAAGCCTCTGATTCTGGGAAAACAGGTCTGCAAACTATGATACAATTCTTCCCACCTTGTAAAAGGTAAATATACCTTTTGAACTCATTTCATAAGCTCTTACTCTGTACTTAACTTTGACCATTCATGATAGTTTTTTATTATCAGTGATCAGATTGCCACAATCTTTGTAAAATATCTGAAAAGGAAAGGCTGGCAGACTCGTGGTGAGGTACATAATAAGTTTTTTTCTCAAAGATTACAAAGGAAAGTGCACTTAAATATTTATCAATGTTAAAACATCTCGAGTTCTTGACCATCAAGTGTAAACTTTTTTTAGAAGAAGAATTATTTTTAATCTGTATGTTTATATCTATATTGGTTCAAATAAGTACATCTGAGATAAAAATGGGAACTAAATCTATAATGATACGCCTTAATGGTTACCTCCGTTTCTGTCGAGTATTTATCACAGGCTAGTTGTTTCCAAATAGATTTTTAAAAATGAAATATGGGCCAATACTGCATAAAAAACCTTGGTGGCCCAACCCAATTGCTAAGAATCTTCAAATAGGCCTATAAATGTATCACTTACTCATTCTAACCCTAGTAGAATTGCTGCTGCTTCAACTTGAGAGTCTTTTCAGAATACCAAGATACTTGTAAGTTGAACAAGGTTCTTTGGTCTCTCCTTTTTTTATCGCTATATATACTGTCATTCGATTGATGAAAGATGACAGAATCACAGAGGTCGGGTTTAAAGCTTGATTAATTTTTCGAACAGAAAGGTTCGTTTACCAGCCTTTTTAAATCTTGCTAAGATTTCGACCTCAGATGGTACATTTGCATATCCCTGTGTGTTTGTGGTGTCTTGTTTTTTCCTTCCATGTATGGTGTCTGTTTATTTTTACTATATTTATCATATTCAGATTGAAAATAAAAAGGGAAAATAAAAAGAAATGGTAAAGATATAGTAAGTGTAGTTAATTATTTTGTTTATTAATTATACCAACTTTTATGTGCATCGTTCCTTTTGAGGAAAGAAAAAATGTGGAGAATAGATGCTATGTCGCATCGACTTTATATATATTTAGGAATTTATCACTCAATTTTGTTTCATTATGTTCCTCTTACTCTATGATACCTTGACAATTTTTGTATATAAGGAATGATGTGAATTCATAGAGGAATAACATTTATTTTATGATTTGATATCTAGCGGACATGGCAAAAAACAAAGAGTCCAAAAAGGTGACAAATGTCGAAGTAGATCACTTCTATGGAACTATAGGGCCTGACGGTGACCAGGAAAAAATGGTAATTTACTATTCTATTTTGCACATTTCTTTATTAAAAATTGCACTCCCTATTTCATCATATTAAAGCTCATTAACGTTCTTTAAAAAATAAAAATTGTCATGTATATATTTAAAGGAAAAAACAATTCAAGTACTCTAATTATAAATGGTTACCCGATACTTGCATGTGTAATATAAGCATCATGAATCTTGAGATATAGGTTATCAAAGAACCATAGATATACGTTTATATCTCTCAGTGTTAGTTTGCAGTACAAATTCTGCAATTTAAATACTTCAAACATTAGGAGGCGGCACTTAGCATTCTAAGGGGGTGTTTGGAACTGATTCTGCTTCTGCTTCTTTTTTAAAAGCAGAAGCAGAATCAGAATCAGTTTTCAGAAGCTGGTACCCCCCAGCTTCTAAAAAAACTGATTCTGGGAGTAAATTAGAGCACCAGAAGTGCTTCTGGAATTTCACCCAAACACTCCAGCTTCTACTTCTGCTCCCTGAAGGAGCAGAATCAGTTTTGAGAATCAGATCCAAACACCCCCTAAGCTTCCACTTGTGAAATAAATTTCAGTTATTGTGCTACGATCGTTTGTTAGTCTATCATAATATGATGTGTATTTTACATATGAAAGTCTAGGGTACTCAGCTTACACCACTCCAAAGTTTAGGATATTTGAATTATTATTCCCATATTTTAATCCATCCTATTTTTTAGTAAAATTGTTATGTTGAGATTGATATGATGACATCTCAATCATTTTTCACATAAAACTTGATTTCATATCTTTCTCTTTTCTTTATCTCTTTTTGGTTGAAATGAGGTTGTCTCTTTGCCTGGTACACTTTTACTACTGGAACTATCCAATTTATTATCCCCCATTTTCAAAATCATACTTCTCCCCTTTGTGAAATATAAGATTGTATTCAATATACTTCATATGAAATCCTATACAAGAAGCTATATTTATAGCTATATTTAGAGTCCTAGGGTTTCCTATACAAGATATACAAAATGGGCTAAGCCCAATACTACTAGGGTTTCCACACTCCCCCTCAAGCTGGAGCATATAAATCATATGTACCAAGCTTGTTACAAATATATTCCACTCTAGGACCTCTAAGAGACTTAGTTAAAATATCTGCAAGTTGTCCAGTTGTGTTCACATATTTTGTGATGATATGTCCACTGGTGATCTTCTCTCGGATAAAATGACAATCAACTTCAATATGTTTTGTCCTCTCATGATATACCGGATTTGATGCGATGTGCATTGCAGCTTGATTATCACACATGAGTTGAGCTGGTTTTGTGTTTCCATATTTTAACTCTTGGAGGAGATGCTTCAACCATAAGATTTCACAGGTAGCAAGGGCCATTGCACGATATTCTGCTTCAGCACTAGATCTGGCAACCACATCCTGTTTCTTACTTTTCCATGAAATTAAGTTTCCACCAATCAAGATGCAATATCCCGAAGTGGAACGTCTATCCATCGGACATCCGGCCCAGTCTGCATCACAGTATCCCACAATATCACGGTGGCCTCGATCTTCAAACAACAATCCTTGTCCTGGAGTTTTCTTGATGTATCTCAAAACTCGAATAGCTGCATCCCAATGTCCAGTACATGGCTTATCAAGAAACTGGCTAAGAACACTTACCGCAAATGAAATATCTGGTCTCGTGATGGTAAGATAATTCAATTTTCCGATGAGTCTTCTATATTTTTCCTTGTTGGGCAAAAGATCTCCCTGTTCTGATACGAGTTTAACGTTCGGATCCATTGGTGTATCCACTGGCCTGCAATCTAGCAAACCTGTTTCCTCAAGAATATCCAAGGCATACTTTCTTTGTGAGAGAGCAATTCCATCTTGAGACTGTGCAACCTCAATGCCAAGGAAGTATCTCAACTTTCCCAAGTCTTTTGTTTGAAATTTGCTAAACAGATGTTGCTTGAGGAGAGCAATTCCTTGATCATCGCTACCTGTAATGACAATGTCATCAACATACACAACAAGATAAATACATTTGTTGCCAGCAGAATGTCTGTAGAATATAGAATGATCAACATCACTGCGAATCATGCCAAAGCTGCAAACAACGGCACTGAACCTCCCAAACCATGCACGTGGAGATTGCTTCAAGCCATATAATGAACGACGTAATCTGCACACCATACCAGACTCCCCCTGAGCAACAAATCCAGGTGGTTGCTCCATATAAACTTCCTCGTGCAGATCTCCGTGAAGGAATGCGTTTTTAATATCCAATTGGAACAATGGCCAGCGGCTCATTGCTGCCATGGATAAAACCAAACGAACTGATGCAATCTTCGCTACAGGAGAAAAAGTGTCAGTGTAATCCAAGCCATATATCTGAGTATACCCTTTCGCCACAAGGCGTGCTTTAAAACGATCAATCTCCCCATCAGGCCCAACCTTAACCGTGTAAATCCACCGACATCCCACCACTGATTTGCCAGTGGGAAGGGGGACTAAGTCCCATGTCCCACTAGAATGAAGAGCCTCCATCTCAGCCAACATGGCTTTACGCCACTCTGGGTGTGTCAGTGCCTCATGTGTGGTTTTAGGAATGCATATATGAGATAGGTGGGAAATAAAGGCATAGTAAGGGGTAGAGAGGCGGTGATAACTCAAAAAGTTATATATGGGATGTGGATTCAATGTGGAACGCGTACCTTTTCGGAGAGCAATTGGCAAATTATCCTGAGTGGTGTCAAGTGCTGGAGTAGGTGATGGTGGTGATGCAGGATCCGTCATAGGGGAATCAACGGGCGTGGCCATGATGGGCTCAATGGGAGGAGGTCGAGGACGTCGATGGTATACCTGTAATGGACGATCTGACATAGGAGGGCAGTTTGGGTGCTCATCAGATGGGGGGTTAATGGGAGGCTCCTGATGGATGGGCCGAAGATATGAGGTGAAGTCCAAACATGATGGGGTATTAACTGAAGATAATGGATAATAAAAGGACGACTCAATGAAAGTGACATCAGCTGAAATAAAATGTTTCTTAAGTAATGGAGAATAACAACGATACCCCTTTTGGAGTCGTGAATATCCAAGAAAGATACATTTTATTGACCTAGCCGCCATTTTAGCTAATCCCGGTGTCGTATCATGGACAAAACACACACACCCAAACACATGAGGTGGTAATGGAAATAAATCACGAGCAGGAAACAAAATAGAATAAGGAATTTCATTATTAAGAACTGAGGAAGGCATTCTATTTATTAAATGACACGCAGTGAGTACAGCATCTGCCCAATACTGAGGTGGTGTATGGGAATGTAATAATAGGGTACGAGCAGTATCAACCAAGTGCCGGTTCTTGCGTTCAGCAACCCCATTTTGTTGAGGCGTGTGAACACAAGAAGATTGGTGAAGCATACCCCGTGATGTCATGAATTGATTAAAGGATGCCCCAAAAAATTCTTTAGCATTGTCACTGCGTAAAATTTTGATAGAATGACCAAACTGAGTTTGAATTTCAGCACAAAAAGTTTGAAAAATATGAAACAATTCAAAACGCTCTTTCATTAAAAACAACCATGTGTAACGGGAAAAATCATCCACAAAAATAACAAAATAACGGAAACCTAAAGTAGAAGTGACTCGATACGGACCCCATACATCTGTATGAACTAAATCAAACGGTGATGTAGCCCGGTTATTGACTCGCCTTGGAAAGGATTTACGAGGTTGTTTTCCAAGGTGACATGACTCACATTCTAAAGATGAAAGATTGGAGAAACCTGGAACCATACGTTGAAACTTTGAGAGACTAGGATGACCCAGACGATTATGTAAGGTAATAGCAGGTTCAACTGAAACACAAGCGATTGGATCAAGAGGATGGAGGTGATACAGACCTTGAGATTCATGGCCGACGCCAATTGTTTTCCCCGTACAACGGTCCTGCACAATCACAGAATCAGCAGAAAATGTTACGGAACAATTAAGAGCACGTGTAATTTTACTGACAGAGACAAGGTTAAAAGGGGTGTTTGGGACATATAAGACTGAGTCTAATGGTAAGGATGAAAGTGGAAGCGCTTGCCCAATACCCGAAGCCGAAGTTTGAAGGCCATTAGCAAGAGTAATCAAAGGAAGATGTCGGTGCTTGGTAATATGGGATAAAAGATTGGGATTACCAGAAATATGGTCCGAGGCACCTGAGTCAATTATCCATGAGCCTGCTGTGTTTGAAACGCAAGCGGTAGACATCCCCGTTGTAGATAATGGCATATTAGTCAACTTAAATTGCTGATATGCTGCATATTCTTCTGGAGACAGAACAATGGGAGATGGTGGGATCTGAGCAACGGTGACTGGGGTAGGAGGTCTCCCATGTAATTTCCAACACCTGTCTTTAGTATGACCAATTTTATGACAAAAATCACATTTAGGACGGTTCCGTCTTGAGAATCCGGTGTTGTTTTCTCCGTCAGAATTCATAAAAGACAACTTGTTTTTTTCTTTTTTCTTTTTTTTCTGTTTTTTTTTTTTTCTTTTCTGTCTTTTTTTTTTTTTGTTTTTTTTTTTTTTTTTTTTTTGTTTTTTTTTTTAAAGAGCAGCAAAAAATAAAATATTTAAAGTAGTGCAACTGCAATTGAAGTGAAGCAGCCGTAAGGTTGAAGGCATCAGGTTGAAGCACTGTAGCTACACAAGGATGAAGGAAAACAGACCTCTATCATCTTTGGGAGGTGCGGACGACGGCGAAGGGAGACTGCAGGGCGGCGGCGGCGAGCGTACGACGCAGGGAGACGGCGGTCGGCGGCGAGCGTACGACGCAGGGAGACGGCGGTCGACGGCGGCGGCGCGGTCGACGGCGGCGGCGCGTTTGACGGTGGCGGCGCGTGAAGCGGTCGACGGCGGCGAGTTTTACGTCGTTCTGGTCGCCGGAAACTCAGGATCTTCCGCTGGTTGGAGGTGTCAACGCCAGATAAGCAGAGAGAGAGAGATCTGCAAAAATGAAAAACTGCAGAAGTATGCTTCAGCGGCACGTGGTGGCGCGTGGATGATGCGGCGCAGGTGATTCCTCCGGCGGTAAGTCACGATGTACCTTTGAGCACGGCGGTAGGTTGATATCACTACCGAAAGCACTCAATTGAAAGTGACGACACTGTTCACGCCGGAATTCTGACCGGAAATTACACCAGCAGAAAAAAAAAAAAAATCATAAACACTACACTAATATTGCCACACTGGCTCTGATACCATGTGAAATATAAGATTGTATTCAATATACTTCATATGAAATCCTATACAAGAAGCTATATTTATAGCTATATTTAGAGTCCTAGGGTTTCCTATACAAGATATACAAAATGGGCTAAGCCCAATACTACTAGGGTTTCCACACCCTTCTATATTTTCAGGACTCATTGGTGGAGTCAATTACAATACAGTGAAACACCACACATTTGCAACAAGTCAAATGTGTTTTTCCTTTGAGAAACACACATCTCCCCATGATTTAATTAACTCTTGAACTTTTTAAACATCCCCAAAGCATACTCCATTTTTTCTAATCATTTTGCATTTAAAAAATGGTTGCTTTTGTTCTGCTCTGTCTCTTTGTTCCGTGCATAAGCCACCATTAGCCTGGTGTTGACAAGTCATGTTTCAGGCCAGCCACAACCATTCTATAAACTAAACCTCATACTTTTTAAACGTTGTTCTTGTTATGTGCTGATTGTACTAGAATATTATAGGTTCTGTCATTTGCTTTTGACAATTTGTTCTAGTGTCGTGATCTCTAACAGTTTCAAAGATTCTTCAGGCTTGCCAGTTATCCAAAACCCTTTGATAAGTATCGAAAGTTCTCCCTTCTTATTCTTTCCCCGAGGGGTAGACTTTTTAGGCTCTTCACCACATTCTCTAATGTAGTCTGACTCTTGAAATAGATTTGCCTCACAAAATAGTGATCCTATCATTTCTTCCACAATAGTATGCACTGAAGGGCAAGTTTCTTGTAAAATAGCTTAAGAAGAGCAGCATGTCTGGAAACTGAGAAGAATGCTTGTATTTCATATAAAGAAAGAGTTAGTGTATTGTAGTGTAGTCACAAAATGGCATCTGTTAGTAAAAACATATTTTGCGTGTCCATCTGAAATTAGTGCATACATGGAGGTTAGAACATAATAAGATATTAATAGATCGTATCTTGCAGCAATTATCCTACTCAATAAGTCAACATTATTGATACAATAACCAGAGCAACAGCCATACCTTAATCCCAATTAAATGGTGTCGGATATATGAGCCAATAGAAAGCATCTAGATTCCGTCTTGCTCTCTTTTTGCAATGCACCAAAAGTTCAAAATGATTTGATAATGTTCATAACATGTAATATATATATAAACTCGTAAGTATAATCTTAGACATAAGCTAAAGTTCATTTTTGGTGAACTTCAAGTGAACTGATTCGGATAGTGTGTATCAATAATTGAAGCTGCTTACCCGGGTGCTCTATATGCATTGTAGTGATAACTGATAAGAGGTGAAAGTTTACTATAAGCTGAAGCTTACACTGTTTTCTAAGCCTGAGTGCAGTATATATTGCTTAATAATTACTTATTGATGCCCTTTGTGTTTCTAATTTGAATTTGAAGCGAGTCCCAATGAAATTGAAGAAGTACATGAAAAAAGAGAAAAAAGGCTTATCGGGCAAAGCAATTCTAAGAAGCCCTTCTGGTCGGTATCGAATGGTCAAAGTATCTCTATTGGCAGATGGCTTATTTCTAAAGAAAGGATGGGGTGAATTTTACCAAGAAAATAATCTTTGTGAAAACGACTGCCTATTGTTTAGACATGACGGAGACAAAACCATGATATATGATGTGCAGATTTTTTGTACACATGGATTAATGAAGCCTGTAGCCTCTAATTTTGGGGAAGAAAGGGTCTGCGAGCCATGGGAATGTAATGCTTGTCGACCTGTAAAAGGTACCTCCTGTGGTCATTAGTTCATAAGCTTTTACTTTGTGTTTTTTAGAGTCAGTTTAATTAAGTTACCATATTCTTTGTTTATATTCTGAACTAAGGTGTATCATAGTGAGGTATAAAATAATTATTTTTTGTGTCAGAGATTATGTGATCTAATGCATATGTCAATGTTAAACTTTCTTGAGTTCTTGACCTTCCAGTGCGAAATCAAACAATTTTATTCGTACGAGGAATTATTATTACCTGAATAAAAATAGTGTTCCAGTGTATTTTAGAATATGGAAAACACTTGCATAAAGTCTATTAAGCTTACTACTAAGTCTCGACAGATGTTTAGCCAATGACACTTTGACTGAAGTAGGCAACTGGTTGTCTAGCACAGTGGTCTAAGAGAGAATTGCAGTAAATAAGAGTAAAACTTAGGAGCATTCCCCAGGACTCCATGTTTTATTTTCCTTAAATATAACTAAATATCACATTTCTACCCTTAAACAATTAATTAATTTAATTAATTGCCTTCCCAATTCGATCATTTCCAATGGAGCCAAATACTCATTATTTTTTGGCTTGGGAATATGATGAAATAAAGCAAATGACTCATTAAACTACATGTCCTTCTTTGTTATGAGGCAGTAGTCAGTCCATGCAATTTTTGATGCGTTTTACACCATGGGTCATCCGAAAACAGTCTCTATGTGCTTTAGTATAGGGGTAAAGCTGCGTACATCTGATCCTTCTACCCCCACCGTAGGTGGGAGCCTTTGCGGCTTTAGGGTAATGATAATGTGATGAATTAACTGCCTTCCCAACATAACCATGGCAGTCGGCGATGGCAGCAGTCGGCAGATTTCTGACGGCCGGCGAAGTGGCGAACAGCAATGGTCCGACATTGCTCCAACCCCCATAAAAGTATTTTTGTTCAAATACAATTCACAAATAATAAGTCCTATTTATGGTATTTTTAACATTAACTCCTATTTTTGGAAATTTAACATGTGTTGGTCCTATTTAGGGAGCTCTCCCCTGCTCTTACTATATGCTCTATGGTTTTTTATTTACGTTTTCTAAAGTTCCAACTTCCAAGAGTGGTAGGCATAATTTTAAAGAGTATAATGACACCATTGTAAAGACTCTTAATAGTTTCATGTTCATTTTGTTTGTATATTTTATTTGTATCGGATAAAAAAAGTAAAATGAAAAACAAGTATTTTTCATATAGTGCAATGAGCATGTAGTTTAGATGACTCAATGTAGAGGTATACCGTATACCCAAAAGAGCATTAAGGCTATGTTTGGAGCTCAAAAAATAGTAGGGAAAAGGAATAAAGTGTATAGGAGAATGATGTTTTATGTTTGGTTTATATTGCTAAACACTAAGGAAGTCAAATTTGATGAAAGTTCTAAAATTTTGCATGTATTCATATTTGTTAGTTTTTAATTTTTATATAATAGAATTATATTAGTAAAATCAAAAGTCAAATCTATTGAGTTTGAACCAATTTTTTATTCTCATCATAATTTCCCCTTTATTTCCTTTTATTCTTTACCTACCATTTAATGGGTTCCAAACATAACCTAATTGATAAAGAGATTTAGAAGAGATATGATGTTTAGGCTGAATTCCATGCTCTATTCCCTGGAGATCTTCTGTATGTTGCTCATCGCCAGACTTGGGATGACTGGCTGGTGAGAGCTCTTATAGCTCTGATACCATAAAGAGATTTAGAAGAGACATGATGTTTAGGCTGAATTCCATGCTTGATTCCATAGTATGTGGTGGTATTTATACACAGATATAGAGAGTGTATAAGGTAAGCTGTAATTACAATATTAACTACAAGTTTTGTAACTGAAAACAATAAATAATTGTAACTGAAATCCTAAATTCTGGATTCTTCTACAATTGAAATGTATATGTTTTAAACATCTCTTTCAATTTGCAATCAGATGAAATTTTGAGTTACGACGACCAGCCTGAAACGTATACACACAGGAGGGAGACGGATGTATCAGAGGCAACAGGTATTGCTGCAATAGATTTGGGTACATATAAGAACATCCATTGCATTTTTTGTGATTCTGCTGATAACACATACGCATTTTTGTTTAAATTTGAACGGACACAGTTGTGCTTGTTCTAAAATGAACATTGAGTTATGCCGATATGTTGTCATATCCTAGAAACACAAAGTAAGAAATATGCATATGTACTTTTCCTAATTTTAGCATCCTATTCTGAGTAGCTGCATGTAATTCTGTAATACCTCGGCTTTTAAAAAATCATATCAATCATTTTAAGTGAGTTAAATAAGTTTCTTTATGAATAATGTTATTTAATGACGTTACTGGTAAACTTTAATAAATGAATATAAATAAGGGTAAACGGCATTCTACATTCAGGGCCTTTTTTATAAATATTACTCTCTCTGTCCCATTTTACCTGTCTTACTTTCCTTTTTGAGTTGTCCCAAAATAAGTGTCATATTTCCCTTTTTGGAAAGAAATATGGTTCACAACATTTCACTTTACTATACTCAAATCTCAACCACAACTTTTACCTTTTCTACCACTTTATTAAAAGTGTTGCCAAAACCAAAGGACACATAAAATGGGACGGAGATAGTACTAATATAATTTGGGATGACAAAAAAGTGACTCAAAAATTAAATTTCCAAAAAAGTGATTACTAGAGTAATTAAAAGCATCTACCATGCAGTTAAATGGAAAGCAAGGGTGGTTTTATGAACTCTTTTATTTGTGGTAACTACCATAGTTTAGGAGGAGAGTATATACTCCCTAAAATATATGGCGGCTTACTTTTTATTACTCCCTAGGTTATTTCCGATTGTAATTGAAGCCATGTCACTATAGATTACAGTAGTTAATACTACATATTAGCTTATTTCTAGTTGTAACAGAAACCCAATCATGATATATTATACTACCTCCATCCCACTATTATCGTCCCGGTTTCTATTCACTAGATCAACACAAATCACTCTTACTCTCTTACTTTATATATCAAATTCTTATCAAATTTGATTATGGTTTTTGCGACTTTGTAAAGATTGTAATGTAGTTTCTGAATACGTATTTTCTTTTCTAAAAATAATTTGAGTGCGGAAAATGATCTATTTGCTTTATCGTTGGTTAAGAATTGTAAACCGCAATGGGACAATAATAGTGGGATGGAGGGAGTAGTAGTTGATATTAGCTTATTCCGGTAGTAATTTAAAGAGATAAGGGTCAGATAGGGTCTCGAACTTGAAAAAAATTGTCAAATAAGGCCATATTTAGGATGCTCTGTCCGGCCGATGCCATTTGGGGTGGTTCCCGGTAGAATTTTTTTATGAAATTTTTTGAGAATCTTATTCATTAAGTCTAGTTTAATCATATCAAATTTGAACTAAAACTTTAATCGGGAAGGCATTCAAATGAATTCTTGAAGATAACTGTACCGTTAAAAGCGCAGTTATCTTCATGAATTCATTTGAATGCCTTCCCGATTGAATTGTTAGTTCAAATTTGATATGAGTAAACTAGACTTAATGAGTAAGATTCTCAAAAAAATTCATCAAAAAATTCCACCGGGAACCACCCCAAATGGCGTCGGCCGGACAGAGCATCCTAAATATGGCCTTATTTGACATTTTTTTTCAAGTTCGAGGCCCTATCTGACCCTTATCCCTAATTTAAATCATGTCACTATAGATTGCAGTAGTTAATATTAGCTTATTTCTGGTTGTAACTGAAACCTAGTCACTGTATATTACAGTAGCTAATACTACGTATTAGCTTATTTTCTGGTTGTAATTGAAACCATGTCACTATAGATTCCAATAGTTAATCACGAGTCTCCCATCCAATCTTGCTCACTTGTAAGTGTAACCCTGTCACTATCATTTCATCTACGCTAAAAACAAAAACAAAAAGGTGAAGAAGATGAAGGGGCCTCAATTAATTCCCAATTCGTGTCGCAGATGAACCTTGTGGTCGGAAACCATGGCAGTCAGTGGCGGACCCATTAAGGGTCCCACGGGGTCCCGGGATCCTGTGGACTTCGAAAAATTTACCTATATATATTATATATATTTTTAACAATATTAAGTGGTAAATGTATATATAAATCATAAGCGAAATAGTGACCAAATGGTGGACCCAGAAAATCAGAGTCACGGGGTCCCTAAATTGATATAACTCTTAATAATATAAAATTAAAGAAAAATATTAAGAAGCATAACGTTTCATAGTTAATGTATCAACATGTACATAAAACTAGTCTTTTTATATTCCATGCTGAAAATCCTATTCCTGAAAAAAAATTACCACCAACTTCCAACTCATTTCAGAATGTTGCATCTTTGACAATACTATATTCCAACCATTTGTGCTCATCAAACCAAATGATCTTTGTCAATAATATAATTATTTTTAGTAAATAAAATTTACATATCTATAAACTACACTAAATGTGTGTATATACACACACACACACACACATATATATAGGAAAATGTTCAAGTAAGGTAGGCCTTAAGAATTGAAATTCTTAGGCCTCTTTCATTTGAGGTGCTTTCGGGTCAAAATTTTTTATGGAATTTTGTGAGCATATTCTCCATGAAATGTAGACTATACCCACCCAATTTCAGATTAAAATTCCATTGGAAAGTCGGTTAAATAATGTTTTCAAATTTGCGCAAGTTTATTTATATATATAATGCAATTTTTTCAATAATTTATCTAACTGACTTACCGATTGAGTTTTATTGTGAAACTTGGTGGATATAGTCTACAATTCATGGAGAACATGCTCACAAGATTAACTTGGTGGATATAATCTACGGGCCTACCTTACTTGAACATTGTCTTATATACTCCCTCCGTCCCCGAAAGAAGTTCTCACTTTCCTTATTTGGAAGTCCCTAATTTAAGTTCCCATTTCCTTAAATGGAAAGTTATCTACATCAAAATAGTGTCAAACAGTGCAAAACAGTGTCAAACAGTGCCAAACAGTGTCGAAACAGTGTCAAAACAGTAAAATTTACCCCCTGGTAAGTTTACTTGCATAAAAGTGTGTGAAAGTCAAATGGGGAACTTCTTTCGGTGATGGAGGTATAGTAAAAGATTAAGAACATTTAAATAAAAATAGTAAAAAATACTCCCTCTGTCCCTCAATGTTTGTCCTAGTTTGACTTCACAAATATTAAGAAGTGAATTTGACTTTACACTTTAGCGACACTGTTTGACACTGTAGCGACACTGTTTTGCACTGCTTGACAGTGTTTGATAAAGATTTGTTTGCCAAATAAGATAGTTAAAAAAGTAGGACAAACATTTTGGGACTTCCATTTCGGGAAAGTAGGACAAACATTGAGGGACGGAGGGAGTAGTATACGAGAACCTTTAAATGAAAGAGTCAAAAAGAAATTAAATGAAAAGAGATAATTATATCAGGGGTTTTTTAGATGAAACTTAGGTCAGATAACCCAAGACATGGATGAGTTTAACATTCCCCCCATATTACATTCTCGGGAATGTAACTTTACCTATTTTTTCTATACCTCACAAATCAAACATGGGCATCTAACATTCCTTGCATCACATTCTAACCTTCATATGAGATTATTAGGGATGGCAACGGGGCGGTTCGGGGACGGTTTTACATATAACCGTACCCGCCCCATTTGATAATTCCCCGCCCCATAACCGCCCCATTACCCAACGGGTAATTTTTACCCAAACCGTATCCGCCCCAACGGGTAACGGGTATAACCGCGGGTAATCGCTTTATTAAATGAGTCATTGATATTTTAATATAAAAATAATATTTTAAAAGGCGAAAAAATGGCATCACCTAGATAACTCTAGAATGAGACGCCCCTTTAAAGTTTCGTATATCTACAAGACGAGAAAGAAGACAACATAAATTAATTTGAACCTAAAACACTTAATTTGAAAACATAATTATTCAATAAAAATCTGATAATAATCAAACAAGACTATTAAGATCTATTATGAACTCTCATGGAAACATTATAGTTAGTACATCTATTATTCATATACTCAATGAAAATAGAAAAATCTCATTTTCTATTATTCATGGGACAAATAATAGATAAAAATGTAATAAAAATATAACTAAAATAAACGGTGCGGGTACAGGGCAGGTACGGGACGGGTAATGGGGTGGGCATGTATAAAACCGTAACCGCCCCGTTACCCGTAAAAACAAAACGGGTATTCCCCGCCCCATACCCGTTACCCGGTCAATGCGGTTTTCCCCGTTTTGACCGGGGCGGTTCGGTGCGGGTATCCATTGGATCGGTCACAATTGTCATCTCTAGAGATTATCCCAAACTAAACAGACCCTGATTAATTTGTAAAACATGATTTTATACTATTTGTTTGTACGTGACCTTGGTGAGAATTATTTGATAAGCACTTTTATTTGGTGCATTAAAATATGCTTATTAACAAGCATTGTCAAGATTATGTAAAATATTTTATTTTAAGATTTTATCGGTGTTTTTTATCAAACGTCATACTGAGTAATAAGTTTAAAGTGAAAAAGTTTAAAGTGAAAGGTTAAGTGATATGTACTCGGAAATAAGTTTCCATAGAGTTATTAGAGTTTAAAGTTTCAGAGGTTCCGATATGTTCAGTGAATCACTCCTAAGCTATCAGACTGAAACCATTGGGACTATACGTGTTATTTCATTGTCACATCTAAGATCATTTAGCAGTTGCTGGAGATCTTTTTCAAAATTTATTCTTTCGATATCTCTTTTAGAATCTGTTTGAGATGTTGTTTGCAAGTTACTACGTATTTTTTAAGTGCATAATGCTTATCAGTTGTTCTTCTTCTCATGTAGAAATACCATTGGTATGGCCAATTTCTATGGTGATGGGGGACTCAAATGCACGCCAAAACGAGTTCAAAGGAAAAAAGTTGGCCTGACTCTTGGTTAATGTTTTATTTAAGAATTTCAGTTTTTATAACAAAGTGACTGTCAATTACTTAATTTGATTTGAAGTATTTTGTTTTTCAGTAAATTCATGGGTCCAAGTAGTTATCACATTTGTTGGTGATAACAAGATTTAGTGAAGTTTTTATCTGAAGTTATTGTATTTACTTTATTAGATTGTAACATGATTTTTATTAGACAATTGTCTTTTTTATGTTACAGTTTTATTTAAAAGTAGCCTTAGGGACGTTTCAAATTCATGCTCCATGTGCCTTTAGACGACTGTCCTACCTCACTGTGGAGAGTACGTTTTTTTGGAGTGCAATTTTGTTCACCCCCTCCTTGGAGGGTGAACATCACCCCCATAGCTCAAATGTTGCCATATGGCATTTCATTTCTTTTTTTGCCACATGGCAAGCAAACAGGGAGGGGGGTTATGTTCACCCTCCAAGGAGGGGTGAACAAAATTGCACTCGTTTTTTTGAATGGGTGTAAGTTTTTTTGGATTGCTAAAAATCAATTATTTGTGTGCATGGTGACGTGGTTCTCTTGAATGTGCACACTATTTACTACAGTTAAGTCACAGTTATATTTCATATTCATTTCAAGTCCATAGTTCACAATTTTTTTTGGACGAAGTAGAAGTGTACAACTAACTTATGTTTAACAATTGATATTGTCATATAGCATATGTGGCACCATCACAATCATTCATTCATGAAATAAGGTCCTCCACTATAAATCCACTATAGAAATGAATGGTTGTGATAATGCCACATGTGTTATATAACTCCATAAATTTTTTGATCATTGTTAACTTCAATGGCGTAAATATGTTCAACAAAATGCCCTCAAGAAAGGGTGTGTTTGTGTATTTGAGCAAAAGAAACTTTGTTGGGTTGCAAATGTCATGTTCGGGCATTAATGCATTATACCTTTTTAGATATATATGGAGCACGTCAATGTAATCACATGAAGTACATCGGTGTGATAAATGATCAAGATTAATTCATCTAAAACTTTGGGGAAAGTTCCCAAAATAGGACTAAAAAAGTTGAAAATTCCAAAATAGGACTGCCATGTTTTTATTCCCAAAATAGGACTAATTATTGCCAAATTTGGAAAATACTGCCATGTTTGATGTCTGGTACTGCCAAAACATGGCAGTAATTAATCCTATTTTGAAAATAAAAACATGGAAGTCCTATTTTGGAATTTGCAAACTTTTTTAGTCCTATTTCGGGTAATATTTCAAAACTTTGATAAACCATTTAGCACAGTAACATAGTCAGGGACCTGGTTCGGGCCGCCCGGCCCGGGACCGGCCCGGTTCTCGGGTCCGGGTCGGGCCTAGGCCCGGTGGGGGGCGGGTCCGGGCTCGGGCCTTGTATTTGGCGAACCGGCCCGACCGGGTCCGGGCCGAATTGGTTTTTTTTTTTCATTTTTGGGGTTCCACCCGGGTTGGGCTTGATGGTTAGGAGGGGTTTGGGGGGGTGAGGGGGGGGGGGGGGGGGTAGGAAAGCAAAAAAGAAAATTAAAAATGACCAAACCGGAGGCCCGGCCGGTCCCGGGCCTTCCTTCCAAAAAAAAACCCGGTCGGGCCCGACCAGGGTCCATGACTACAGTAACGTGATCTGTAGTAACATTTTGGTGTGCTTCCAATAAATTTTGTTATCCTTCTACCGTCGTCGGATTGGTGCACCATCATTGCATATAAGACATGTTGTCTATCGTACTTTAGTATAACTGATTCATTTTGACATTTTAGAATTAAAATGATTTTTATGTGATATGAAATTTGTACATTACCTCAAATCTAGTTATCGTGGTTTCGTTTTGACATTTAACATTGACTCTTTCTTTTCAAGTGGTTTGAATTATGCAAATAATTACATCCAATCTAGTTGCAGTTGATAATTCCTAGAATATATATTTTCTACCGGGCATGTTATACATAGCCTTTTATTCTTATTGTACTAAAAAGAGTCAATTCCCTGAATAGGACTAAAAAGTGGCAAAATTGCACAAATAGGACTACATTTTTTAAATTCCCTTAATAGGACTATTTATGTGTGTTTGGCCAAATATACCCTTGTAACTTGTGAAATGTTTTAATTAATAATAAAATCATACAAAAATAATAAAAATAGAAAAAAATACTAAAAATCGTAAAAAGATAATAGAAAATTAATAAAAATATTTTTTAAAAAAATTAAAAAAATATTTTAAAAAAAAAATAAAAAAAAAATCGTAAAATTAATAAAAAAAACATTACCACCCCTGCCACCCCCAACACCACCAGCTCCCATCACCGGAGAAAAATATGCCAACATTTTAAATAATGCCATAATGATGGCATATTCAATGAAAATGTTGGCATATTGAAGAGTAATTATGCCATCTTTTTGGCATTTTCAGAAAAAGATGGCATTTTTTTACCAAAAGTGGAAGAAATTTCACCAATCGGAGGTGGTGGTGCTGGGAGGCGGCGGATGGCGATGGGAAATGTATCCATAATTTTTTTCATTTTTTATGGGTTTTTACTATTTTTTTTTTATTTTTTAAAAGAAATTTAAAAAAATAAAAATTAAATTTTTTATTTTATAAATGTTTTATAAATTTTTTATAATTTTTTTTAAATATTTTTTACGTTTTTTTATGATTTTATTATGAATTAAAGCATTTCATTATGAATTAATACTCTTAGGGGTATTTAGGGTAGTAAATCTATGTTTAGTCCTATTTAGGGAATTTAAAAAGTAGTAGTCCTATTTGTGCTTTTTAGGAACTCATTAGTCCTATTTAGGACAATTTCCGTACTAAAAAGCATAAAATGGTTTCAATGAAGATCGATTGGTGGGTTGGTAGAACCAAATTAGTTGCATGTCTTATTAGTTTTTTAAGTGGCACTACTACTCTATTGGTAATGTGAATGTAGGCTAAATGATACTTTTAATTTGTTAAGTTATTTTTTATTATTATATTTGATAGGAAAGTTTTACTTTGTTGCAAATGAAAGCATAGACTAACTTTCTCATCTAAGAAAGCATTATTTCATTTTTTCCTTTATGTCATTTGTTCAATTAGAACGTATAATGTTTTAAAGGTGGTTATCTTCATTTATATTTTCGAGTCTAAGAAAGTAAACATATCAATTCCATAGAGTTACAATGCGTTACTGATAATGAAAAATATGCATGCATCACCTCGATTTAACAAAAATAATTTCATCTCCAAACTCATAAAAATAGGTGATTTAACAAAAATAATTTCTTCTCCAAACTCATAAAAAGGATGACAGCCCATCCATGATGAAAAGAGAGTGAGGTTCCATCCAAGTCATTGTCTGGTGTTGAACTCGATTGGGATCTCTCCCCTGTGACACCTGTTGGGAAAAACACGATCCCCCGGCTTCTTCCAGGATCACCAGCTCAAAGGACTCTTGTACATTTACCCTTTGTTAGTAATATACGGTTCGTGAATAATACAATAATACGTATGTTCGTGTATAATACGATACAATTATATAAAATACGGCTTAATATATGTTTCATATGTTCGTGAAATATATAAAGATACGGACGTGTTTTAAACGTTTCACAATTTAAAAATACGACATATAATATGTGTCTTATATACTAATTTAACGATAGAAATAAAGAGTTATTCAACAATTGCACCACATGCTTCAACAATTTAACATGTATGAAATAGTTATTTCATGTATAAGGATTTGAATGCATGTGTACAATTAGTAATAAAATGATATTGCCTATTTGAGTAGAAGTAGAGAAACAGAGAATAATAACTGATATTACTGTGAAGGTGAGTTTGGTGAGCCGCCACAACATTTTTTGTTCTCTTTGGAGTCTTGGTATGGGTGGAGAACAAAAGTAGTACAGTACTACTACAATAGTAATATCGAAACGGATTACGAATTTAAGAAACTAATTTATTAAATGTAATGACTATTAAACAATTAACGAATATATGAGACAAATTTTTTTAAGCAATATAAATAGTATTGAGCAGCTAGACATTCCGTTTAATGGTGTGTGTTTTTGAATAAAATACGTATCAATACATACAGTACGTGTGTACTATACATTTTATCCTTAAAGTAGATGAGTTTTTCAGAATTTTCTGAAGAATTCATTAACGAGTGTATTATACGTGAATAAAATACGTATCAATACGTACGGTACGCGTATTATACATTTTATCCTTAAAGTACGTGAATTTTTCAGAATTTCTCGAAAAATTCATAAACGGAAGTATTATACGTGAATTATACGTTTGAGTGTATTATACGCGAATTATACGCGAATAAACTAACATAGCATTTACCCACTCACTCGTAACACAAAGATTCAATCTAACAATATCACTTTGTATTAGACAATTGAAATGTACAAGAGATATTTTACAAGTAAACGGGTAGCTCACATCATTCTTTGTATGAGACTTCTTCACTCTCACATCCCTCACCTAGAGGAGGCCTTCACTTACTCAATAGCCCTCCTCAAGGATCTCTCTCTCATCACTTGAGGAGGCTCTCTCTAGCCTCTCACTCTAGGACCTCCTCTAGGACCATGAGGAGGTTCTAGAGTGTGAGCCTTTAGAGAGAGAGCCATGTGAGTGAGGGCCTAAGGAGAGAGAGTCTCCTTGGAGGATGTAAGAGAGGAGCCTCAAGGAGAGCTCTTGAGTGAGGGGGAGCCTCCTTGAGATAGGAGAGTGAGAGTGAAGTAGTCTCATTTGAAAAGAGTGATGTGAGCTACCCATTTACTTGTAAAATATCGCTTGTACATTTCAATTGTATAATACAAAGTGAGATTGTTAGATTGACCATTTGTATCACGAGTGGATGGAGGAGTGTACAAGAGTCCTTTGAACTTGTGATCCTAGAAGAGGTCGGGGATCATCTTTTCCCCAACAACACCCCTTCCTACAAGGTGAGCTACGCCCTTGATTAATCTCCAACTTCATAGTAGAGCTTTATGGTGTCAAAGAACGTGTTCAGGTCAAATCCAAAAATTAAAAGGGAAAGGTGTAGTTTAATATAAGGTAAGCAATTTCAATATGGTAAATGAATTTTGAAGATTGTATGAGACAAGAAATCAGAATTCTCTTAAATTATGCAATTTCAATATTTCGTCACTTATATATAATGGGAAGATACTTAAGAGAATGAACTGTGAATTTGTTTAGAAAATTTTAAAAGCATTACTGCATTACGAACTACGATCCCCTGTATAA